ATATCTAGGTATTATAAATGATAAAGAATGCTAATGTAGATATAAAATCGATATTTTTTTGAAAATAGCCTACTATGATTGAAACCAAAAATGCTTTAAATTGCATTTTAAAACATATCTAGGTATTATAAATGATAAAGAATGCTAATATAGATATAAAATCGATATTTTTTTTGAAAATAGCCTCCTATGATCGAATTCAAAAATGCTTTAAATTGCATTTTAAAACATATCTAGGTATTATAAATGATAAAGAATGCTAATGTAGATATAAAATCGATATTTTTTAAAATAGCCTACTATGATCGAAACCAAAAATGCTTTAAATTACATTTTAAAACATATCTAGGTATTATAAATGTTAAAGAATGCTAATGTAGATATAAAATCAATTTTTTTTTTTGAAAAAAGCCAACTATGATCGAAACCAAAAATGCTTTAAATTGCATTTTAAAACATATCTAGGTATTATAAATGATAAAGAATGCTAATATAGATATAAAATCGATATTTTTTGAAAATAGCCTACTATGATTGAAACCAAAAATGCTTTAAATTGCATTTTAAATCATATCTAGGTATTATAGATGATAAAGAATGCTAATATAGATATAAAATCGATATTTTTTTGAAAATAGCCTACTATAATCGAAACCAAAAATGTTTTAAATTGAATTTTAAAACATATCTAGGTATTATAAATGATAAAGAATGCTAATATAGATATAAAATCGATATTTTTTTGAAAATAGCCTACTATGATCGAAACCAAAAATGCTTTAAATTGCATTTTAAATTATATCTAAGTATTATAAATGATAAAGTATTCTAATTTAGATAAAAAATTTTGATTTTCAAGAGGCTATAGCAAGTCATGGTAAAGTCAAAATTTAGTCATATGGGGTATTTTTGTAAAGCTCTTGCTGAGAACTTTAAGATAGAATTCAATATAATATCTAGTTTAAAAAAACATTCTGGTGCCGCAAGAATTTTAAGAAAATTACCATTTTTCCTAGGTTTTCCAACTTTGACAGCTTCAAAACTTCTGAAAATTTGAGAATTTTGAAAAATGACTTTCGATCCTCCTAATTGCTTATGTTGTGTGATCAAATGGCAAAAGAATTATTTTCTGAGACCCTTATGGCTCGGCTGTGACCCACGTTTTTTGGCGTTTTGAAGGCATAGATGATGTCCGAATGTAAAAGTTTATTTACAGAAAAATCCGGCCTTCTAATACACACATTTTGGTACCCTTTGAGATTTTTGAAAATGAGTCCTTCAGGCTGTATTAAAAAAAGTGTGTTTTTCGTGAAACTAATAACTTACACGCTTTTGCGTGGAAGTTAATATGCTTGGAGTAATTTTCTGCATTTCATCGCGGAATTTTTATCTTTTTTTAAGTCATAGATTAAGAAATTGACAAATCTAATTAAGTATGAATGCCGTGTGATTTTTAGTATGTGAATATCCCCATTATCAGACATGAAGACATAAAAAGTAATGGCATACACTACTAGTACGGCTCATTCGTGCTTGCATAAAGCGATCGTATCACAATGATTATTTATTTATTTTTTTTATCTTAAAATAGAGAAAATTTAGTCATTCTTTCTATTGCTTTTCTTTCTTTTCACAAGTCTTTCGCCATATAAAAATAAGAAAATTGAGAATAATAAATATAATAATCATATTTTTTTATTGTAGAAAGGAATTGAAAAAAAAAAGATATATGAACGAGAGAAGGTAGCTAGTAGCTGTAATTATTATTCATATATATATAGTGGGTTTGTTTATTCTAATCACAAAAGGCAACCTTTCTCCGATTAATTTATTTGTTAAAGGCAATAAAGGAACAGAGAGTTGGTTTTAGAGATAGATGAACAGACACATAGATTTCTCCTCTTGAATGAAAAAGTTTTAGAATTTAAATATTTGTTTTTTGAGTTTTAGAAACGCATTTTAGATGATTTTAAAGATTTACTCTAGATTTGAATAACAGTATTCGATCTTACATGACTCAAACAATCTCTTGAAGGCTACTACAGATATCCTACATTCTTAGTTAAGTTTTCTTTTGGATTGTATTTGTAAAATTTCATTTTTTAAAGTCATTTGCGAATTCTGATATTTTTGAGTTTCCTTGAAAATTAAATGAGTTTTAGAACTTTGTTAAAGACTTTTCACTAGTTTAGCTAAGTCAAACTTACTCAGAAAAACTTAAAAAAAATCACCTCTTTCAATTCAATGTTAGAAATCAAACTGAAGCTTGAAACCAACATTATATCCACTAAAATCAGTGAAAAGCAAGTTTAAGCTTATGTGCAGCAAAAATGCTTTTAAATCATTATCACTATATTGAATTAAAAATGTCCCACATTTCAAATATCACGATTTTTCAAAATAAAAACAGGCTTTATATTTATTTTTATTTTAATACCGTTAAGAGTTTCCATCTTAGTTTCCTTTCTTTCAATAAGCAGTTAGCAATGTATTCATTGGCAATGGCAATGGAACAGTCAGATTTGAAATTATCAATTTGACCTATAAATGTTTCTAATAATTTTTCATTTGTTCTTATCGACGATTAATGTCATGCAAGAGAAAGAATGCTCAACCAACAATTAAAACATTTTTATATGTCATTGATTACCTGTTATGGTAAATAGCTAGCTATTGTACTGCAAGCACTCCATAAATAATATTAAACATTTGCCAATTGAGCAGAGGAAATTTATATCTTTGTTTTGTGCTTTGCTGTCTCTTGATAAATAAAATAAATCTTTTTATATATTTATATTCCAATCAAGCATCATTAAGCCCCTCTTCATCTCGTCTGTCTTGTCAGCAGCCGTAGAGATGCTTGTTGATGTTGTGAAGAAAGTAATTTAATGGAATTTTAACAAATTGTTTAATTGCAAGTAAAAATGTTGTTAGTCGTGCTTCAAGGAGGTCGTAAATCGTGATTTTATCATCATATCAATAAATATATGTGTATATATATGTATGTAATTCAGGATGCAAGAGAAGAAAGAAAAACATTGTTTGATGTCGTTTTGTGTGACTAGAAACATGCAATAAAAAGTGAAACTTTTCTCTTCATCTTCTTCTTTTATCTTCAATTGAAAGCGTGAGTGGCCTTATTTTAAAACTCATTTTTAAGCAGAAAAATAAAAAACAAATTAAATTAATTTCTATGAAACATACAAAGTAGAGACTTTTTTTTTGACGATTAAGAACAAGCAAATAGTAGCAAGCAAAAAAATTCAATTAATTCCTTCTTACTTACCAAACAGTCTCGAGTTTCGTGTCGTTTTGTATTAAATTCATCACTGTTGCTTGCTTTTTTTTTTGCACGATATTCCACGATAAAAATCTTGAAATTTCATGTTCTTTTTCTTCCTACCCTGTACACTTCTCGCTTTCTTTCGAGACATTGCATTTCTTTCTTCCGTATCGAATCTTCATAATGACTAGGAAAAAGTGAATTTTTTTTTCGTTTTCTTTTTAAAATGGCTCTTTTAAAATAAAATATAATTTTTTTATGTATATTTCTTGAAAGTAGGACAAATGTGTACTGTGTTTTACGACCTTACAACATAATGTGTGCTTATAGCATTAGCAATTTTCTTTTCTTTTGTGGCTGGCTGTGGCTTATTTTTATGCTTATTGAAAAACTTAATATATGTATTAAAAAGACGATTTCGATTATCGATTTGGGTTTGGTTTTGTCGGTTGCATTTTACTGCTCCATTGGAACAGTCCATTTCGTCTTACAACTTGGACATTTATCAGATCGTGCCAGAAATTTCTCAATGCAATTTTTGTGATATGTTGATTTTGCGGTTTTGCAGGCATTACATGAAATTCCCTGAGTGAAATTTAAATCATTATATGCTGTGTGAATTAACTTTAATTAACTTACCCATGCAGCAATATCATCACATAAACCACAACCTTTCAAGTGTTCTGCTTTCATGCCTTTTAGATCCTCCTTGAACTCGGTTAATGATTTTGGTCCCAAAAATATCAGATTATCATGTCGAACGAAATACCCACTTGTGCACCAACCTTCAAGCAATTTCTCTGATCGCATCTTGTTCAACTTTCCAGCATGTGATGATTGTAAATTGAGAGCTTCGCGAGGTGAAATGTTAAGGTCTAAGTTTTCAACGATTTTTGTGAGAATCTGTTTGAAGAAATCTACTTCATGTTCTGAATAGCAGTGCTGCATACTTGATATGGATGTCTTTGCTGTTGCACAAAAAATGTAATAATCGAGTAAATTCAATCCATATTGATATTTGACGATCTTTTGATCAAATCGTCCAATGTTTTCATTTATCTGATCAATAGCCCGAGACAGTGCATTCTCATCCATTTGTCTACTTCCATTGACTGTTGATAATAATTTAATTAATATATTTTAAAACTTTACAAGACTTTTACTTACATTTTCCCCAAATTTCTTTAAATATATCATTCAGCTCGTCTTCTTCGAGACTTCCATGGTTCATTAAGGCTTGCAATGTTGCTCTATGGACATCCGAGTAAGCTGGAACATGATCAGAACAATTTTTGGCGGGAAAATCAAATTTATTTAATTAACTCTCTTACCATCCATTAAAACTTTTATCCTTTGATATGCTCGTGATGTTTTGTGATATATTGATGATAATACACTTACAACTAATCTTGTTATGCTGTAATTCCGATTTTAATACTTAATTTTAGTTTTTCAGGTCTTCAGATTCAAAACAAAACCGATTAGATTCAAATTTCAAAACTACGTTGATCGTAACCGATTAAAATTTGAATTTATAAAATACGGTGAACATTACTGATTGAGATTTGAATATTTAAAAATTATAAAGTGAGTTCACCAACCGAAATGGTTAAATTACCATGAAATTACCATGAGTAATAGTAAATTTGTTGAGATAGGTAAGCGTGTCAAAATTAACAAATTTTCGTTGATCGAGATAAATTAAAAGCAATTTTATTTCACAAAACTACGCTTCGTGTACGTCTTTATTAAACTTTTTGTTCTTTTCTAACTGTTTTAAATTCATTTCTTAAAATGAATTATTCACTTTCAATATAATAGAATTATATTAATAACATTTACACCAATTATCAGTAACAATTAGCAACATCCAAAAAGAAGTTCTATAAATGGAGCTTTATAATAGTTATGCGTATGGTTCCAACAAAACTTAATAAAAATCAGTTTCTTGCCTCAAGAAAAAAAAACATAATTAATTAAAAATCTCGGGATTTACCGTAAAGTTGAATAATCAATTAAAGTTATTAAATGTATTTTTGTGTGCGTTTAACTAAAGTAAAGTAAGGATTTGATGGGGATGAATGTGGAAGAGAACACGCGGTTGATAATGTCGTTTTGAGTATTCTCTGAATTAAATCAATTTTAAATGTCTACTTCCTAGAATTTGATTTGTTTGCTTTAAGCGGTGGTGGATAAGGAATTGTAAAGAGCTTAATATTGAGAAAGGATACCATTTCGAGACAAACAGTGCTACAATATCCAACAAGGTCATATGAGCACCATAAAAATGCTATCCATAAAATATAATATTCATTAAAGAACTCGTTAAAGTATTGATTAAGGAAGAGTATGAGTGGACCAACAAGTCCTGAATCCAGTAAATTCATTTCACTTTTACTCATGTGCGCGACGACAAGTCTACATGATACTTTTGCGGCAAGAACTCCAAATGTTAATAAATATAGTACAGGATGATTCAAATAAATTTGGCTTCGTGATTTTTCTGATATTATAAAAGCTGGAATCACGACCAGTAGAAATGGAAGTATTGGTGATATTATGCTTGTGCCAGCGACTGTTGAGCCATTTTTGCCAATGCCACCTTTCCTAATTGTTTGTGCGAAATTTACAAGCACGATAAATGCTGTTGTTAATGAGAATGATGCCATCAAGAACCAAATCTGAATGCCTCCTAATATTCTCACATGCCATGCCTCAGGTCCGAAGAAAAATGATACTAAATGTATCGCCATAATACACAGTTGTGCTTCTGTTACGTCAAACTTTCCAAATCGTAAGACTCCCGTACTAAAAAAGAGTATATGAAGAATAAGAAGCAGATAATGTAAAATCATCAAAAATAATTATCTCATTTCATGCGTCATACAATAAGTAACAAGTAACAAAGTCGACTTACATGTATGTCTGCCAATGTGCTACATAAAACAAAATAATAGCTGTTGCACAATTTAAAAGCATTGCAGTCGGATGATATCCAAGACCTCCAGCACAACAAGCAGCAATACTAACAAAGACTGTCGATATTGAATCACATCCATGATCAAAGAGCTCACCTAAAGGTGACGATGTGTTTGTTCGTCGTGCCTGCTTTCCATCTACATTTTATAATTGACTGATTAAAGTACAGGATTTATGGAAATAAGGAATTTATTAAGCCTATACTGACCGATAGCGTCGAGACTTTGGTAAATAAATAATCCTACAGCACACGATAAATAGCACCATCTTGGAGCATCAGCCTTCGCATCAGGCGCATGATACAGCAATAGCAGGGATGTGATAATGTTAACAAAAAGTCCTACAATCGTCAAGAGATTTGGAGCAATAAAGAGAGGGGTTTGATTGACGAGCCATGTCCACCACGGTTGAAGTAACTTATCGCATAAACTATTTGATTCGCAATTATATTTGTGCTCGCTATAAATTAGGAACGAAATCAGGTTACGCGTACTCGTCTATTTTTTCACTTAATTAATGATTATTATATTTTGTTGCACATGCGATGCCATTAATTAATTTAAGTCATATTTTTATATAATATAATGTGACGACAACACTGCAATCATTCTAATCAGTAATAATCATTTCTCATATCTATCATCATCCGATCCGTTAAGTATGTAAATTTTTGATGATTAGAACTTACCTTAATTTTTTTAATTGAGTTTTTGACAAGATATCTTTCTTATACCAAACAATCATGTTTCTTTCTTGTTCTGTTGTGTCTTTTTGTTGCTTTGGCTATCAATTTAACAGCTATTCATTTCACTTTTGAGCCTTAATTATAGAGAAAAATATTAAAAACTTTTGTTAAGGGGAGAAAAACTACGCCTGAAATTAGCACGATTTTTCGAAACTTTTTTGCTGGGTTTTTGCTGTCTGTTTTACAAGCTTAGTTTTATTCCCTCTTTGTTTACATAAAATTTTGACTTGAATTATGCTAAAACTACTTAATAGCTACCGAAAATGTATAATTAACAAAAATATATCACCAGCTTTGTGCTACTCATCACATGCACCTGAAAAAGGATTCAACAACAAGCCAAATGTGTCGGAAATCAAAGCTGACTATATTGGTAAGTAAATATCAAAATAACTTAATTAAATCACAATGTCATTCAATTCTAGGCCCACCAGATGAGTCTTCAAACATCAGGCCAATCCTTAGATATGCTCCAGATGATGAAACACATTTACAGAAAAAATTACGATTGAAAAGAATCGATGCTGAACAATTTGTTTCTGGATTTTGGAAGAATCACAATAAGCGGTTCTTTACAGAGAAGAGCAATTTTATAGCAGAAAGGCAAGGAGATAAGGAACTAAATGCAGACGAAATGAGTGAATTCTATAAGAAATTTCTTGACAAAAACTGGGAGTCACACTTTTATTTCAATATTATGTGGTATATGAAGAATTTTGAGTTATTGTATCTAGCTTTATTAGTAAATGTACAGAAAGGTATTCGTAAAATAAAGAATTAATTTATTAGAACTAAAATTTCATCATAATCTGAGAATATTCTCAATAAAATCGATTGTTTCTATGTAAAAGTGTAATATGCAGGCACCAATCACTTAAAGTCTTCCTTTTTAACAGCATTTCTATTCTTCCAAATACTGAAATGATGATCCCAAAAAGCAGCATCATCAGGAAATTTATAATTGAATGTACCGAAACCACGGACGTACAATCCAAAATGCCATGTCATGTCTTGCTTAATTCGCCTATCAAGTATTTTGAATATACTTAAAGCTTCCGTCGGCCTTTCTGCTAGCAAATGAATTAACTTTAAATTCTCACATCCAAATAATTCATCAAATAAGTTATCCATAAAATCTTCATCTGACCATTTGAAGGAAACCTTCCTTAATGACCTTGAATGTCTCTCAATAAATTGGCACATTTCTTCGTCATTTATTACTGCCATGAATAGCTCTGACAATTTAGGAAAGTAGATTGATTCCGGTGCAAGAATGGATACGTCAAAACCTTCACTAGGCAACAATAAAATCTCTAAATTTGTCATTTCATAAGACATGTGCTCAAAAACCTTTTTCCAACTAAGTTCTTTATCTTCAGGATGGAAATGAACATCACGTATATCCAATTGCTTAACTCTTGCCAATGAGCTTATAAAAACTTTAAAGTAATTTTTGGAAAAGCCGTCTTCATACACGTCTCTGTAAAGTCTAACGCTGTCAAGGAGAAACTTTGGAGTATATGTATAAGCATATTCAACTAAAATGTCAATGATATCGTCTATATCACCGAATTTTAAAACATTTGCATCCATTCTCTTTAGGCGCATGTTATTCCAGATGAAATTATACATTTGAGACATTTCTGGATTGTATTCAAAAGCACCAAGCAACAAAGTTTCCAAAGTATCTGAATGAGTTGACAAAAAGAAACAAAATTCTCTTATTTGCTTAACTTGCTCTCCTTCTAGTTCCAAATATTTCAATTCAAACTTAAACTCAAATATTTCTTCATAATCAAAAAATTTCGATGATTCCCAAAAACCTAAATGAAGCTGTTCTAGTTCTTCTTGGCGTTTTAAAAAATTAATCCATCCTTTATACTTTTCATCATCGTCATCATTCCAATAAGAATCAATTGCTAACTGCCGTATTGTAGTAACATCCAACTTATTCAACAATTTATCGGTGATTACATTTGTCATTGAGCTTATTTGAAGAAATTCAAGCTTTAGTAGTTTTGCAGCTTCATAATCTTCATTTTCAGCTCCTTCCTCAAGTTGTAAGCTACTCAAATACAAAACTTCTAAAGCAGGAAGATTCTTAAGTACATGAACTAATTCAGGCAGAGTCAATTCACAATATTTTAAATCCAGTGATTTCAAAATATTTGGATTGATGATATCCAGTAATTTAACTTGTGCTCTTTCCAAGTCAATTGCTTGATAATTTCGTCGCATTGGCAGTGCTTGATACTCTCGAATTTCCTTATCTTCCAGTTTTAGTAGAAAATTATCCATTAAATGCTTTGAATTGTCTATGATTGTGTTCCATCTAGATAATTTTATTAAAACAATAAATCAGAAATAATATCAGATAAATACACAAAGTATAATTCATAAAATGAGCTATGTTCTCTCCCACAAACCTTTTAGTAACAGCACAGCAAGTTTGGACCATTTTTGGACTTAAATAGTTAAATATTTCGATTAAAATCTCCTCAGGCAATGATTCTATGTGATTTTTATCCATTTTGGAATATGATCGATTGTTAATTGACTTATATTTATTATTTTTTCACAGAGCGATGTTGATTCAAAGAATCGAACGTTATAATGAAAAAACAACGATTAAAATTCAAAAAAATCAATTTTTCTGCATCTTTGAACTTTTTTTGCATCTTTTTCAAATAAAACCGTTGAAAATTAGACACGTGGTTAACACGTGGTCACATTTCTAGAAGTTGAAGGAGAATGGATATAATTAATTCTACTGAATGATGTTTTTGATGACTTTGACAAACAATGGGTCCTCCAAAATAGAATAATTAATGAAGAAAATGAAAATTTTAATTTACATAGCCCTTTAACATTCCATTGCAATCTTTTGCACATTTCTTTCGTGTCCAAATTAAAAAAAAAATTAATGATGCAAAATTTGTCAAATCGAGAAGAAAAATAATATAATTAACCGTTGTCATTCATTGCATGCTAATGAAATTTCAACACTTAACCCTCCGTTTTGTTAAAAATGAAAAAATGACAATTCATGTTGCATAAAATTATGTATTTTGGATGGGAGGGTGTTCTTCCTTCACATGACTTCAAGCCTCGATGTAATTAAATGTTCAGTAGTCAGTACAATCAAAATTAATTTTTTGGTAAACTTGTTAAGTATTTATTACTCGATAATCATTAAATCGAACCCTCAGTTTTAAGGCATTGGATTCTTAATTACATTACAATCTCTAACAATAAAAAAAAGCGAGGGATTTAGGATTTGGAGCATGTGATGAAGCATGTGATGATGGACTTTGAGACGATATCATGAATTTTTAATATTTATTAAGATAAATAGCCATCAGATTTTCGATTTCGGATCATGATTTACATCATTGCATGAAAAAATAATAAATCAGCTTTTCGGCAATAAAATGATGCACGAAAAGCAATTAAAGTAGATCCTTGACCAAAAAATTCCAATAACGATGGTGAAGATAGGGACGGCATCGCTTGCGTTTTATAGAGCATATCATTACTAATTCATAAACAAATGAAATAAGAACAATGGAAAGGAAGAAGAAAAGAAGTTTATTGAAATTATACCCTAAGGAGATTTGAACTATCTATACCTTTTTCCTTCCTTTCTCGCAATCATCTCCGTCAACAATGCTTAGATAAAGAGAATAACTAAATGGTAATTGATAGTATGAATTCAATAAAGTTTCATCATCATGTAATAAAGCGGAATTGAAGTACATGAATAAAACATTTATGGCGTGAGACAGTAATTGAAACGCTATATAAAGAACTAAGTATCGAAATAAGTTACTGAACAGATATCGATATTGAGTCAATTTCATTATTTGTGGTTGAATTATAATTGACTGCCTTCATTTGTCTGTGAAAATTATTTGCTTTTTGATTTCTTAATAATATCTAATCATAAATTAATTATGGAGATAGCATTTTATCTTCTATTTCGTGCTGGATCTTTATTTATTAATTTAGTGGATGGAATTTGACAACGAAAAAGTAACGGGCTTTTGAAATTTGAAAACAAAAGTTTTTGATTGAAGTTTTTCAAATTTTTGAGAACCGTGGAATTTTTTAAATTTTTTGAAAACCGTTAAAATTTTAAAATTTTGTTATAGTAATTTACAATAGCTATAAATTTTATTATTCATAAAAGCAGCCGAAAAGAGTCAAAGATTATAAAACATATTTGTCGTCAGATCAATTTCGATTGCCTGCCTCGCTCGGTGCATAATAAAACATTTTTATCACCAATACCTACAGTCAGTATAAATATCATGTCGTTTATATGAAGTGCTTTTCCGATACTTTATGAAATTGAACTGAAATGAAGATGTTTCCTGTTGTTTATTTAATTTGATACACAATTTGATATTGAATATAAAGACATTTTCGTTACAAATCGACATATTTTACACAACAAGAAGGTTAATGTGAGACGAGCAGGAAAGGCGGTGACATTTTCAGCTATTTACAGCAAAATTGTACTCTTGGGAATGAATAATTTCTTGTATTCACTTCGAATACGTAAATATCTTCAGTCTTTTTTTTTTGCTCCTTTTCGTCATTCGACTTCAATATATTGAATTGCAAAGGGCATGGCTTCTTGAGGGATCGTTCGTTAGTGATGTCACATTTGTAGAGGACTGAGAATGGGATTAGAACTATACCCGGTTTCTAAAGCTTTTACAGTTTCAAATGTACAACTTATTAAGTTATAAATTAAATTTTAACAATGACTAAGTTAGGTATTCCGATTAGCCCTAGACCCCCCCCCCCTCCTCTTTCTAAGCCATTGTTTGACATTTCATACAATTTGTAAAGTCTAAAGCTGTTTAACACGATGAATTTGGTATGGTCTGAAACAGGAATAAGGAATCTAATATACACGTCATTCATAAAGGACCCCTGAGCTGCTCAAACTTTTTTTCTCTCTTCATTTTTATTGAAATTCAATTGAAAAAGAAGAGGAAAAAACGATGTCATGTATTAAAAATTTGCACGAAACACTTTTCTTCCCTCATACATAACATGATGTTCACAAGCATATTTTTATTCCACATATTTTTTTTTGTGTTGCTCCACCTTCCTTCAAAGTATTGCGCTTGAAAAATTCATAAGTATAATTTGGAACGAAAACACAACACTATTTACAGTCTTTAACTAAATTGTGCAATTTTAACGACATCAAAGTAAGAACAAGATGAAGAAGAAGAAGAGTTATACATTTCAATGAATATTTAAAGAATCCACTGAAAATACCTTAATAGCACATTGTCAACATGGAACTTAATAACATTTAAGCTACTTCTTGAATCATAAATCAATTCTGCAGACGTTTTCGTATCAATTTTAATTGAATTTTAATGTAGATTGCTCATACTGAATTTATTGAATTATGAATGAGTCACATCAACATATGGCGATTCCATTTTTAACCCTTTCAACAAAAGGTCATCGTGTTGTTGTTGTTTTTCGGTATTTTCAATTAATTTGATTAAAATTACGGTGGAAAATTTTGACAGGATCATAAATAAAGAAGTTTGAGGTAAGCTAATCACTAGAACTCGCATGATATCTGATTTGTCACACCGTTTTTGACATGAATCATCGCTGATTAATACAGCCTGAATAAAATTCAAACTGTGGTCACGTTATCATCTTGCGTGGGCTAGTTTTATCTTTAGGGAACTCCTATTATACATACATAATGCTGTAAAACTTGTATTGCATTGAAATTTTGTGGAGTTCGCACATTATTTTGGAGGTTTGTTTTTGTTTTTGGTTATCGAGAATTCTTTAAATTGAAAACTTGATTATTTTGAAGTATTTATCTTAATGTCTCAGTCAAATTGAGTGTAAAATGCTTTGCTCCTTCTTTTTTAGTATTATTAAGTCGTTTAAATAAGGAACATCAATCATATTAAACCAAATTTTATGAACAAAATATCCAAGTGAGAATATTTTTTCAAATCCAATTTTTCTTAATTTAAATGAGAATTAACTGAAATGAAGTCTTGAAATTACTGAATTGAAGTCTTAAAATTCATCGTCAATCCCAAAAAAGACTCCAAATATTAAATTTGCATGTAAATGAAGAAATCTAGAGCATTTAATAAGTAGCTGTCCCTAATTTTGAAAATTACCACTCATTTAATAAATTTTATTAAGGATTGTACATGCATCGGATCAAAAACAACAAAGGAAGCTCAGACATTGCTTTGTAAATATTTACTGAAACCGAAATCGGAAGGAGTGGTGTGTACTATAGGATGTGCAATTGATTAAAATCTCATTTCTCGCTACGCTGTGGTGAGCACGCGAGGCATATAAATTGTGATGTAATTACACACTATAAACCACTCCATTTAACCCTTTTTGTGTGTTTTTTACTCTACACACTTTCTAATCTAAGTTTTGTGTGTGATTCTATATATCATACTCAATGTGCATGTGATGAATATTATTTTACATACAAAAGTCCATTCACACTAATAGTTATATTATGATGCATTGCAATTGTATTAAGCAATGACTAGTGTGAGACAATTTTATGAACTCTACAAATTAAATATAAGGGCTACGGGCGGGGTCCTTTATTCATTAAATTATTAGTTTTCATAATATAGCATATCTACATCATGTATTTACTGAAGATACATAAAAATTATTATAAATTACGATGATGGATTTTTAGTGCCTTTGAAAATTCATCAATTTTGTTTGTCCACTATAAAATAGTCACGTGTCGTGTGTAAACTGCTGCTTGATTTATTTCGATTTCTTTTTAATGTTACATAGTTTTTGTAGGGATGTTGTTACATCGATTGGTGGTCGATTTTGGGATGCGTGTTTTAGAAAAGTCGATGAACTTAATAAGAAACTAATGAAGTTTTTAACAGACAAAATGAATTTGAATTTTCAAAAATTTAACAGACAAAATAAATTTGAATTTTCAAAAATTTAACAGACAAAATGAATTTGAATTTTCAAAAATTTAACAGACAAAATAAATTTGAATTTTCAAAAATTTAACAGACAAAATGAATTTGAATTTTCAAAAATTTAACAGACAAAATAAATTTGAATTTTTAAAAATCTTTGAATTTTGATTTGTCTTTAATAAAAATGTTATAGATTCTCAAGAGTAACTCCAATACTCTTATATTATCTACTCCATCCCCGCATTTATTCATCCAAAAATGTTCAGAATCGAATTAAGCTTCACAAGATTTCCCATGGCTCAAATTTTACACTCGAACAAGACATACACATGCATTAACAACTTGTGATCTTTCTTGTAAATTTGTAATTTATGCCTGTAAGATATATTTTCTTCGACTTAATTAATTATTCATTACATATGTTGTTTTTTCAGTGTACAATAACATTTAACTGTAACATATTTTTAATTCGACATTTAACAAAAGTCCCACAAGATTACAACGTAAGAAGTAAGTATTTTTTTAATGTCTACACACTTACTGTACGAATTTA